GTAAAACCCCAACCCAAAAAAAAAAAAAAAAAAGGTAAAAATAATAACAAACTAAAAGTAATAAAAGGATCATTTTCCCGCGCTTTGGAAGGCCGAGGTGAGTGAACTGCCTGAGCCCACAGGTTCAAGACCCGCTTGGGCAACTTAGTGAGACCTCATCTGTGCAATAAATCAAAAAATTAGCCGGGCGTGGTAGCGTACGCCTGTAGTTCCAGTTACTTGAAAGGCTGAGGTGGAAGGATCGGCGGAGCCCAGCAGGTCGAGGCTGCGGTGGCGGGGGTGGCCACTGCACTCCAGTCTGGGTAACAGAGTGAGACTCCAACTCAAAAAAAAAGGATCATTTCTAGCCAGGCTCGGTCGCTCAGCCTGTAATCCCGCGCTTTGGGAAGTTGAGGTGAGTGGATTGCCTGAGCCCGTGGGTTCAAGACCCGCCTGGGCAACTTGGTGAGACCTCATCTCTACAATAAAAATCAAAAAATTAGCCGGGCATGGTAGTGCCCGCCTGTAGTTCCAGCTACTTGGAAGGCTGAGGCGGAAGGATCGCCGGACCCAGCAGGTCGAGGCTGCAATGGCCAGAAGCAGGCACTGCACTCCAGACTAGGAGACAGACTGAGACTCCAACTCATAAAAAAAAAAAAGGATCATTTTCTTCCCAAACACTTTTAGCATTACAACCCTCTGAGATATAAATTGCCAAGAGTCATACACCCTACCTGAAAAACAGAGACTATACAGCAAAAGGTAGTTAACTGCCCATTTCCAAGGTAGCAGAGCAAAGCAATCATAAAGTTATATATTCTATGCTGCCAACTGCTAAACACCATCTTCTTGCCCTAGTTCTGTAGGAAGACTTGCGGTTTGGTAGAAAGTATACAAGCTTCTGAACCCCAAATCTCTCATGTTCATACCAGTGCTAGCATTTACTACAATATGTCAACTTGGTCAACACTTGCAATTTCTCAGTTTCCTCAGTTACAAAGAGGAAATAAATCCCCAATTTGAACATTCTGAGAAATTGTGAACATCAAATACATAATCAATGGAACAATATTCTAAAACCATAAATCACTATGTATAACAACTTTCACCTCCTTGAGTGGTTGTTAACTGTCCGAAGTCCACTATGTCCTGATCTCATCTCTTCTTCACAGTAAGGAAATCAGAACCAACAATCCTAAACACAAATTTTTCCCAGATTGGGGTGAAGCACAGGAAGCAAAATTCTTCTGATGAAGCAATTAACAAAATAAACAAATAGCACCATCTTAACTTGAAGAGAGTTAACAATCACTGTCTTAGTTTTTTTCTCTTCAGATTCTAATCTTTAATAATCTTTAGCTTATCAAAAATTGAATTAACAACAGAAATAACAATAAACTTAGTTGAAGAGAAATACTTTCAAAAAACAACATGTATTCTAGGATTCCATCTTAGCCACGTTCAAAATAGTACACAAAGAACTACAACTCAGCAACAAAAAAACAATCAACTTAATTTAAAAATTGGCAAAGAATTCGAACAAACATTTCTTCAAAGATACACAAATGGACAATAAACAAGTAAAAAGATGCTCAATATCAAGTCATTAGAAAAATACAAACCAAAACTGAGACACCACTGCACACCCATTACAATGCCTAACAGCATGGACAGTACAACAGGGACAGTGAGCCAAAGCATGCATTCCCTAGAGCCTGAGAGCCACATGCCTGGGACTGCTACAACTGACAGCAATCCCAACCCTTCCAGCAGCAGGGTCCCTACCCCAGCCTTCATGGGACCTGGGAATTGGCCCATCCAGTGCCATCTGGTTAGCCCACCCCTCCTGCTGTGCCCATGTATACCATCCAGGGGCCAGAGCACAGACACATTCCACCCACCATCACTTCCATCATCCACCATCACATTTCATCACACTTCATCACTGCCACTGTGGTTCATGGGTACATGTGTTGTCCAGGAACGTGGGGATCGATCCACCCTACCTATCAGTGCTCACACATGCATACCATCCATGAGCATAGAGACAGATCCACTGTACACACCATCAGTGACCACACATACTTCCTAGGGGCCCAGGAACTAGTTTCCCAAGTCTGCAGCCACTACCACTGGTACCCAAACATGCTGCTCAGTGACCCAAGGATAGACTTGCTGCCACCACTGCCACTACTTACACCACTTGGGGACCCAAGAACTAGTATGCCCATTCTGCCATTATCACCACTAGTGCTCAAGAACCAGCATACCTCATATCCCCATACTCAGCAAAGCCTTGCCACAGTCTCCACTAGCAATCACTAAGCCACTGAGGAATTCACAGATACCATTAACACTGATTGTAGAATGAATGAGTGAATAAATAAATAAATTACAAAGACTATGCTACACATGCACCTAGAACCAAAGCAAAAGCATCCTACCCAATCAACACTAAAGATATCTACAGAAAAAGACTTCCCTGCAAAATAATACCACCAAAAATGAAAGAAGTGACCATTACACCAGATGCACAGATATCAACATAAGGACACAAGAAACATGAAAAAGCAAGAAAAAAATTACAACTCCAAAAGAACACAATAAATATCCAGTACCAGATCCCAAAGCAAAAGAATTTTTTTAATTGCCTGGAAAACAATTCAAAATAGTGATGTTAAAGAAAGTTAGTGAAACAAAAAAGAACACAGACAAAGCATACAAAGAAATTAGGAAAACAATTCATAATCTGAATGAGAACTTCAACAAAGAAATAGATATAATAAAGAAGCAAACAGAAATTCTGGAACCAAAGAATTCAATGAATAAAATCAAAACTACAATCAATAACTTTTTTTTTTTTTTTTTTTTTT